ACAAAAGGTAACTGTACTTGTAGCCACAAAGCCTCTACATCTACAGACATTAAATCTTGTCTTATCTTTACTGGAATATGACTTTGAATATATATGGCAACCCCTCCACCATATCTATTTCTGTATTTCCTGTGAATATTATAACCATTTATATTTACTACATCATCTGAGAATGTTTGATCAAGATCTGTTTCTGTTACTGCTAAAACATGAATATCATTTGTAATCAAAACATCAGTTATTTCAACAAGTTTATTCCTAAGGCTACAAATATTAATATGAGCTAATTTTAATCCTTTCCTAGGTAACTTGATTAATACTGACATAATTTCTAAAAAAAAAAAAAAAAAAAATCTTAATTCCATCCAATTTCCTCAAGCTTACTTGAAGAAGCCAGAGGCCTACTTTTATTTCCCATTGCTGCCTTTTTGACTTTTGATGGTGGATATGTGATTAATTGATCATAACAAAGATATCAGCTATCTCTCCCCTCTCTCTAGCAGCTCTCAATTCTGGCAAAAGCTCCTTCCTCCTTCCTCCTCCTTCATTCAAGTATATGTTTGTGCCTTTGAAGTGTTTTGCTCTCTCCAGCAGTGCTTCTTTGTCTTTATACTTAAGAAATTTAACCACGATGGGTCTAGGTCGATTAGAATTCCCATTTTTCATCCTTCCTATTCTATGTGCTTTCTCCAAGGTAAGCTGTAATTTATCTTGAATCAACTTTTTTACTTTCTCTTCAGATTCACACCATTTCTCATTTGGAGACTCAGGAATGCCCTCCACCACTATATTGTTCTGCTTGCACTGGCTTTCCAAATAATTGGCTTTAGCATCTAAGACCAAAAGAGATTCAGCCAATGTATGTATGTCATTTGTATTTGATTTACATTCAGTTGAAAATTCTATACAGTTAACTTTTAATTCATCCACCTCCTTCTGAGTGAACTGGAGACTTATCTTCAAGTCTTGTACCTCCTTCATGAGCTCGTCTACTATTTGATTCATAGTAGTCATAATCATTTGTGTAAAAGTTTTATAACTGTATTATATTCTATACTGTGGGCATTCTTCCTAAAGATTCCTAAGTTTATTTTTAAACATGATTGAACAGCTGTAAAACACTTAACATAATTGTAATTCTTCTAGCAAAAACCTAGTATAACATTGGCTTCATATGATGAAGTAAGTGGATACACATGACAGCGTATGTTACTTCATACGTTAAGGAGTCTAATATTAGTTTCTCCTGAGATTTGACTCGCCGTCGACTAAGCAACAGAGTGAGCGTTTGTTTGTCAGCTGCTGTGGGAAATGGTTAGTCAGTCATAAACAAGTGAGTTTGTACTTGCGTGTGAAGACTTTAGATAAATCTTTGCTGCACCAGGAAACAGGTGAACACACACAGATGTTGCTTTTTGTGCTTTAATGCAGTGTTTCCCAACCTTTTTTTAGTCGCGGCACCCTTTGGAAATTTTAACAAACTTGTGGCACCCTACAAAATAAATTTTGTCACAATATTTGAATTTCTAACTTCGATATGATAATTTGAAAACTATAGATATTCGGTACAACAGGGAAGAACTGCAGAATATAATGTCATACAGATATTTTTAATATTATTTAAAAAAATGTGTCCATCAACGGTGGCAATCAGTAGGCTAATTTCTAATGAAGAGACCAATTTATATGACAGATTTTAATGTAGGCTTTTATACATATGCAAACATTTAATTACCATTATAACTAGCTATCTCACAAATTTTTGTTAATATTATATAATAGCTGCTTTTTTTAACATTTTAGCAATTTAAAAATATTAAAAAAGGATTTTTTATACGGCACCCCTGCTCTCGACAGACGGCACCCCGGTTGGGAAACACTGCTTTAATGTATTAGAATATCTATAGATGGTTGTTAAGAGACATTACTCAGTCCTGTTTTTAGTTATTCATAAATGAGCATTAACTCTCATGCCTAAGGTTCATTTACTCATGTTTTTCTCATAAAATATACCCAGAGGGCAGTTTTATTGCTCTGATTTTATTTCACAGATCTGGAATTAAGTTATCTACGTTTGATTTACATCACATTTGTCTAGATGTTTCTCCTTAAATACAGGAGAAATAAAAATAGAAATCAATTAGACAGATGTCAACATAAAAGTGTAGCACAAAATATGGAGAGTATTATATAGAGTACTTAGGAAAGAATTTGAAATCTTTCTGATATGAATCAAAATTAGCTAAGTAATAAATCATGTAAAAATGTTTGCATTTTTGATCTGCACGTAAACAACGTTTTGGAGAGTATCACAACGCATGTGCGTGCTTTCCTCTGAATGTAAACAAGGCGCAGCGCATGCGTTGTGATACTCTCCAAAATGGCGCCAGGGTGACGCGGAGATGACTTGTTGAATAAAGTCATTATCTTTGTTTTCTTTGCGGACAAATGTATTCTCGTATAACTTAGTAAAATTACCAATGTCCTTACTACATTTCTGTGCTTTGATCGTGGTAGTGCCCTTGCCGTCTATGCACGGTCAGAGAGCTCTCTGATTTAATCAAAAATATCTTAATTTGTGTCCCGAAGATGAACAAAGGTCTTACGGGTTTGGAACAACACAAGGGTGAGTAATTAATGAAAGAATTTAAATTTTTGGGTGAACTAACCCTTTAACTTTTAAAAATCAAGTTCATGTTTTACCAGGAAAAGGAGTGGTTTTGATGCACAAGTTGTGTTTATTGTATCTTATAATAAAAATCTTTTATTTAAACCCGTGAACATGCAGATCCTGTTTTAAATAACGTGAAAAATCACTTTCTAAAACTGTTGTTTCTAAGCAGATTTTGACTCATATGTTTGCAAATCTGAGCAAAGATATAATTAGTGGAATCTCTTCTGAAACTCTAGAGAAGATCTGTGAAGCAGAAGATTTAACAGAAGTCTCAGTTTGCTCTCATATAATCTCACTGATCTTTTGGAAAAACACTAAAGAGATCTCTGTGAATTCCCTCCTACTATAGCTGGTCTAAAATTTCAAAACTAAACAGTTTACTTTCTCCTCAGCCTTTTTTTCAGGAGTGTCTAGTAACTTGAGAGTTTAGATCCCTCCTAAACCCTGCCCCCGAACTGATTTTAATCCCTGTCACCACGGCAACTAAATTCAAATCCAAACCACTGGCAGGAGAGACCATGGCAACATTTTAGGGCCGGCTTGTACCCTGGGTGTCTGGGCTGGACAGGAACATGTTGTATAGCCCAAATCCCCAGGGATGATGGTGTCCGTGTCCCTTTTTTCTGTGACCTCTGACTTCCATGTGGGTAAAATAAACAGGGGCTGATGGACCGTGATGCTCTCAGCTGTTATCTCAGGCTGAGTTCTGTTTCCACAGTCGCTCCTCTTGGGAACTCTGTTAATGATTACTGTCACCGCCTATTTTCATAAACACATCATAGCTATACTCCATGCATCGGCCGCACACGTGTTTGCAGATGATGGATTTTCACTTTTGAGTCCATTTTATCTTTGATGTGACTTCTGTGGTGGAGATTTTGACCGCTGGTCTCTTTAAATGACTATAGAGTCTGAGAAACAAACAAGTCTTTGAAAAGCTTTTTTCACTGAATGAAAGAAAGATAAAGACAGGGAGAGAGAGACGAAAGAGGAGGGAGGGGTGAGTCAGCAAACACCGTCGCTACAGGGTGCAGTCACCTGGCAACTGAGAGATAGAGTTTCAAGCCCTAAAAAGATCTAGACTAAACACTCAATCTATCTGTGCCTTCTCCAATTAAACTAAATAGTATAATGGACACTGAAATGTACGGTGTGTAGTTTAAAATTGTAATTATTAAATTTAAAAAATAATAATTTAAAATGTAAGTTCCTTTCCAACTAAGATAAATGGTATATTGGACACGTGTCCAATATAACAATGTATATTTTAGAATTTGAATTCATTTATTAAATTTAAATTAAAATGTTGCATTATTTAAATTGATTTAAAAATATTAAGTCGGAACCAAATATACTTCATTTGTACAATTTGATTGATTTAAAAAGTTGTTCAGCTCAAATATATGGTCTATTGGACACTTAAATGTATATGTATTTTAGAATTGTAATTATTTGATTAAATTTAAATGAAAAAAAAAATCATTAAAAATGTTTTTTTGTGTGTGTTATATTTGACACTTAAATGTACAATTTGTATTTTAGAATTTATATTCATTTAAATTTAAATGAAAAATTCAAGTAAATTTTGTTGCATTATTGATTTAAAAATGTTCTGGAAAAGTCTGAAGTAAATATACTTCATTTGTACAAACTCAGCGTGTGTATTTTAATTGTTGTAATTATTATTTTTTTATTAAAATTTTAAACTTAATTTAAATGGACATTATAAATGAACAAAAATAATAATATTAAAACTAATTAAAAGCAAAAGCATTTACATGTGCTTATACTTCTAAAACAATACTGTAATATTTTAAATATTATTTTATATTTATTTTTTTAAGTTTGAAGCATGTTACAATTAATTAAAATTGTATAATTTATATCTGCAGCATATATACACTTTGCATTTGTTGTGTACAAACTCACAAATTCAGTGTGTATTTAAAAAAAAAAAGATTAAAGTTGTGAACTTAAGTTACATTCGCTATAATAATATAAAAATAATACTAATATAGAAAAATACTAATAATACTCATTTGAAAAAAAATAACACATTTATAAATGTACGCACTTCATATTTACATGTTTGTATTAACTTGTTTTCTTGTAGCTTGTTGAATTATGCAAATAAAGTATATATTTGATATTTGAAAAATATGCAGTCTGCAACAGATATGCTTTTTTTTTGTACAAACTCATGAGGATGTGCTCATGTGGATTTTAAATCAATATTAGAAAATTAGTCTGCAATAAATATGCACCTCTCTTGAGTTTTGTACATATTTGTTATTTGTGAACCTTCCCCTCTCCTGATCGTGTCCAGGTCGAGTGTCACTCATCAGGGGAACATCCCTGCAGATGAGGGGGCTTCTCCTGGAGGACGAAGGCTGGTATGAGTGCAGAATCCTCCCGCTAGACAAAACCACAGATGAGACTGGCAGCAACGGGAGCTGGACTCTACTCTCCGTTACAGGTGAGACTCACCATCCAACGAGCAGACCTGAATTATTTATAGTAAGAAAAGATATCCAATTTTACCTGTAGTCTGAATCAGAACCATAACAGCAATTCCCTTTATGTAAGATCAGCGAGACAATGCCATTATACTCATCTCACAGTCTCCAACCCAAACACGAATCCATTCAAACATGCAGTGAACAATGAATGAATACATGCACCTGTTACCAGGCTGTGCTCATGCACCTGTTCAAGAGTATGCTCTTTCTCTGTCGGCCACACCTTTAGGCCATTTTCTGACACTCGGACTCAGTGTTGGCCAGATTACAGAAGCCACTTGAGGTTTGTGCTGACATTAGGTTCAGTTTTCAACTCGTTAGTTCTTTGAGCCACAGGACGCCAAGCAGAAAGAGCATCTTGCAGGCCTGGCTGGACTCCACTGTGGCTTTCACTAAGTAAAATAAAAAAAAAAAAAAAAAAATTGAGGGTGCTATTTTAAAACTTTAGCTTTCAATGCAGTAAGCTACTCACGAGGTTGGGTAGCCTTGTGAAGGTGGCAGGCAAGATTATCGGTGTTAATCAAACTGGGCCTACTGAAATTTTCCAAAATTCTGTTGTTAAGAAAGCCCAGGTCATTCTCTGTGTTACTGACCACCCACTACATACTGAGTTCCAGATGCTGCCATCAGGCCGTCATTTTAGAGTTCCTGTATACAGGACGAAAAGAATTAAAGATTAATTTGTTACTGTGGCCATTAAGTTATTGAACAAGTCTGGTGGGGAGGAGAATGTATTTGGTATCCAAAATGTACGAACTTGAGTAGTGCCTGGCTGAATTTTAATGTATATTTGGGAAATTGTATGTTTACATTGAATGCTTTTATGGGTGTAATGGTTATGTGTGCATGGATATGGTTAGTGTATTGGCACTTTGCTGCAATCTTAGTTTCCCTAACGGGACAATAAAGTTGAGTTTGAGTCTGAGGGTCATTGTCCTGTAGGAAGATATCCACATATGATGATCATGGAGCTCAACTAGAGTGACCATCAGCTTCTTGGTCACCACTCTAACCAAAGCTCTTCTCCATCAATTGCTCAGTTTGGCCAGGAGGCCAGCTCTAGGAAGAGTCCTGGTTGTTCCACTTGTCTCCCACTATGGATAATGGAGGCTATACCTTCTTCTGTGAACCTTCAATGCAGCAGAATTTTTTCTGAACTCTTCCCCAGATGTGTTTGAGTTCCTGTCTCTGAGCTCTACAGGCAGTTTTTTTTTTTTTGACCTCAGAGCTTGGTCTTCGCTCTAATTTGCATTTTCAACTGTTAGACCTTTTATTAAGACGTGTGTGCCTTTCCAAATCATACCCATTTAATTGAATTTGCCACAGGTTAGCTTCACTCAAAGTGTGGTAACATTTACAAGCAAAATGAATGCTCCTGAGCGAAATTTCAGCTGCCCCAGATAAGGGTATGAATACTTATGCAGTGGAATTGTTTAAGTTTTTTAACTTTAATAAATTTGCAAAGATGTTAAAAACCTGTTATTTGCTTTGTCATTATGGTGTATGGAGTGTAGATTGATGTGGGGAAAAAAGTAATTTAAAGCTGTTTAACATAAGGCTGCAACAAAAAAATGTGGAAAAAAAATGAAGGGGTTTGAATACATTCGATCAAAATCATTTAAAAATCTTACAGACCTAAAACTGTTAAACAGTAGTGTAGATTTATATTTAAAATGTTAAACTAGAGTATGTAATTCAAAATCGAATTGAATTACAATGCTTTTTGTTAGTAACTCTCCAACATGAAGAATAACTCATTTATGAACTGCTCTTTATAACATCACATTTGATCGTTAATAAATCTTTTCAGTTTTTTTGAAGATCATGATGACTGTTTTCTTTGCTTACTCCTGTGTCTAGCGCCTCCTGTGTTTACGGAGACCTCCCCTCCTGGAGTTGAAGTGTTTGTAGGGAGATCGGTAACTCTGAAGTGTGCAGCTCAGGGAAATCCACGGCCTACAATAACCTGGTCTAAAGATGGACGACCTATAAATCCTCAAAGCAAAGTAAAGGTGTGCTGTTAGTACTTAAAACCCCATGAAATGGTTGACAAATGCTATTATCTTCCCTGTGTCGATATATTTCCTATGGAAAGTTGGGTGTGACATATCAAAGTGCATGTCCCTTTTTAAACAGACAATAACGTGTAGTTCACATCACAGCCTGATGCAGCAGAATTTTTTCTGAACTCTTCCCCAGATGTGTTTGAGTTCCTGTCTCTGAGCTCTACAGGCAGTTTTTTTTTTTTTGACCTCAGAGCTTGGTCTTCGCTCTAATTTGCATTTTCAACTGTTAGACCTTTTATTAAGACGTGTGTGCCTTTCCAAATCATACCCATTTAATTGAATTTGCCACAGGTTAGCTTCACTCAAAGTGTGGTAACATTTACAAGCAAAATGAATGCTCCTGAGCTAAATTTCAGCTGCCCCAGATAAGGGTATGAATACTTATGCAGTGGAATTGTTGAAGTTTTTTAACTTTAATAAATTTGCAAAGATGTTAAAAACCTGTTATTTGCTTTGTCATTATGGTGTATGGAGTGTAGATTGATGTGGGGAAAAAAGTAATTTAAAGCTGTTTAACATAAGGCTGCAACAAAAAAATGTGGAAAAAAAATGAAGGGGTTTGAATACATTCGATCAAAATCATTTAAAAATCTTACAGACCTAAAACTGTTAAACAGTAGTGTAGATTTATATTTAAAATGTTAAACTAGAGTATGTAATTCAAAATCGAATTGAATTACAATGCTTTTTGTTAGTAACTCTCCAACATGAAGAATAACTCATTTATGAACTGCTCTTTATAACATCACATTTGATCGTTAATAAATCTTTTCAGTTTTTTTGAAGATCATGATGACTGTTTTCTTTGCTTACTCCTGTGTCTAGCGCCTCCTGTGTTTACGGAGACCTCCCCTCCTGGAGTTGAAGTGTTTGTAGGGAGATCGGTAACTCTGAAGTGTGCAGCTCAGGGAAATCCACGGCCTACAATAACCTGGTCTAAAGATGGACGACCTATAAATCCTCAAAGCAAAGTAAAGGTGTGCTGTTAGTACTTAAAACCCCATGAAATGGTTGACAAATGCTATTATCTTCCCTGTGTCGATATATTTCCTATGGAAAGTTGGGTGTGACATATCAAAGTGCATGTCCCTTTTTAAACAGACAATAACGTGTAGTTCACATCACAGCCTGGAACAAAAAAACTATGATTTACTACTTGCAAGTGCTCATTTTGGAGAGCATTTGATTTGGGCAAAAATATGTATACACCACTCCAAACAATATTAGTCATAAGCATTTTTAATCAATTTTCCTAGAAAAGGAAGAAGTTTGTTTCGTCAACTTTGGGGCTGTACTCACTTTGACCTTAAAGCTAACAGACATAGATTGACTTCATCAGATTCACAAATGCAATGGAGGATCACATCTAGAATATATTTATTCTCCACTTCATATATCTCATTTTGATCCTATAGATCATGAATGGAAGTGTATCTTTCCATGCTGTAAGCAGAGAAACATCAGGCCAGTATCAGTGTCACGCCTCCAACACTGAAGGAAATGTGACTCACCTCACAAAGCTCAAAGTCATTGGTAAGTCAGCACTGATGTTTTCTCCTCATTTAGGATGATTATCTGTATTGCTCAGGTTAGGCACATTGAAACGATCTGAGAAGTGTTGGGGAGACCATTATACACCTTATCAGACTTGCTTATAAATATTTATTAGATGGTATAATGTTTGCCCATTAATCATAACTAATTTGGTGGAAATAAGGTTCGTGAGTGCGAGCCATATTATAATTACTGATGCAGATTGCACATGTATTGGATCGACTTGCATGTAACTGATTTGCAGATGTTTCTGTTTTGGTCTTAAAATATGGTTATTGCCCCAAAAAAGGGGAAGGGGGACAATTTTCACAGTAGTTGCAATAGTTTTGAAACCCCTGGTTCATGCCATAATATTCTACATGAAAATTATAAGCTTTTATGATTGAATGGCGCCACCTAGTGGTGGTGTTTTATTACATTACATTTAAGCACTCTTCCTTTTCAAGTGTCTGTAGCTCAAACAGTACAGCGAATTCCAGCAATGGCAAACTCATGGGTTCAGTTCCCAGGAAATGAACGTGTGAAACAATACAAGTTTGCATTTGCCAAATGCTTATTTGTATTGAATTTGCATTTGTCATATACAGTACTTAAAATCTTAAAAGTATATTTTAAAATGTATATGCGGTTAATACAATATTAATGAAAGGCCGCTTAAGTGTACTTACAGAGTACACTTGGATGGCTAGGTTTCTGAACACACTTAAGTTTAAAAAGTGCACTTTTTTATAATGTCAAATTAAAATTTTACTTTAAAGTACATTTAAATCATTATGTTTGAATAATCTTTTGTCAGGCTTTATAGAAGTGCACTTATTTTGGTGCATTGACAAACATGCTAAAGCACATGAAAAGTACTTGATTATAATTTTAACTGTAGTGTGTTTGATATTCCGTTTAAAGTTAATATATTTTAATTTACTAAATTGCAACTTTATCATGTGTAATTAAAAAAATATAAAATAACAAATAGAAATAACATTATAGTAGTATAAAGTATATTAAAGTACATTTGAGTTTGCCATTGCTTGTCAGTACATTCAACAGTACACTTTAACTACATTTCAAAGACAATAGAGTAATTATGAAATTACATATAAAGATGCATGTAAGTCCTGTGTGTGTCAAAAAATTTTTAATTATATAATTTTAATATAAATTTAAAATGTAATACATTTCTATTTAATTGTAAATAACATGCAGTTAAGTGTCTGAAAACACGTCATTTACTTTGCACAAGTATATTATTTTAAAGTCTATTATTTCCATAATAAATACTTTTTTTTTTTTTTTTTAAAGTTAGCAATTTTTGTTTTACAAGGAAAAGCAAGTGAAACGTATTATTCATATTGCTGCAATAATGGAACATTGTGTTTTTTTTTTCTAACAACAGGCCCTCCAGTGATTGTAATTCCTCCAGCGGACACTGTTCTCAACATGTCCCAGGATGCCAAGTTGAAGTGCCAGGCTGAAGCTGATCCACCCAACATGACCTATGTGTGGCAAAGACAAGGAGAAGATATTTATCACATTGAGTGAGTTCTCTTCTAAAACTGTGAACCTCCACCTTATTATTTACCGGTAACATGTAGCTTATGCAGTATCCATGTGTGTTTGTTTTAGGTCTCTGAAGTCTCGTGTTAAGGTCATAGTGGACGGTACACTTCTCATATCACGTTTGACTCCAGAGGATTCTGGGAACTACACCTGCATGCCCTCTAATGGACTTCATGTCTCCCCCTCTGCCTCAGCCACCCTCACTGTGCAGCGTAAGAGTTTCTCATATCATAGTGCAAAACGGAAATAATGAATTTGCCTTTTCCTACACTAGTATAAATTTCACACACTACTGTACTCCAAGTTGAACAAGAAACAACACTAGTTTCGATCACTTTTATGTTCAAATTTATATATACATGAGATATAGAATATAGCACATCCAGATATTTTATTACATTATATATATATACATATATAATAAATGCTGTTCTTGATTAACTTTCTGTTCATCAAAGAATCCACAACCATTGATATTGATTAGCATATTGGAATGATTTCTGAAGGATCATGTGACACTAAAGACTGGAGTAATGATGCTGAAAATGCATCTTTGCATCACAGGAAAAAATTTTTTTTTTTAATATATATTCAAATAGAAACAAGTTATTTTGCATTGTAATAATATTTCACAATATTACTAGACTGGAGTAATGATGCTGAAAATTCATCTTTGCATCACAGGAAAAAATTTTTTTTTTAAATATATATTCAAATAGAAACAAGTTATTTTGCATTGTAATAATATTTCACAATATTACTTTTTGATTCTATTTTTCATCAAATAAATGAAACTATAATAAGATAAACTATAAAGCATAAAAAATAACAATTTTACCCCAAATTTAAAAATAATATTTAAAATAATATATATCTTCTTTAACAGACCCAGCACAGGTGACGAAGATGCCCTCGTTGACCTTCCTCCCCACTGGCATGAGGGGCGTCATTGCGTGCCCCATCAGAGCTGAACCACCATTATCACATGTCGACTGGATCAAAGATGACAAACCACTCGATTTAGGCATGGTGAGTAACTTGCTTTTCTCACTATCCATACAAAAAAGTATTTAACCTTTCATATGTACATTTTAGAAGTACACCGCTACTCCTAAGTGCTTTCCTGAGTGCTTTTTCTCCGCTACTAATGTTTGACATATTGATTTTAATTCGGTGACACCATGCTGTGCTTACACTTATACCCCTCTCTTGATGACGTAACCTCACATCTTTCAAAAAGCATTATTTCAGAAAACACTCAGAATAACTGTGAATTTCTTTCAACAGTATCCTGGATGGACACTGACTTCAGAAGGCTCTATAATCATAGTGACAGCTAATGACGACGCTGCAGGTGTATACACGTGTACTCCCTACAATAGCTTTGGGACAATGGGCCAGTCTGAGCCCACCACCGTTATACTACAGGTGGGGCTTTACAGAGTGTTGCCATTTTACATTTTTTTTACTTTTGTTTTCTGTAACAAAATAATTATTTGTAAAAATAGATATGTAAAAAAAATAACAATAAAGATATTAAAATATGTAAAAATACAAATGTTTATAACTATGGAAGCCCGTTTTTGCCACAGAATAAACAAAAAAAAAGTTAATTCCGACTTTTTATCTCACAATTCTGACTTTTTTCTCACAAATATGAGATACAAACTCGCAAATCTGACTTTTTCTTAGAACTGCGTGATAAAAACTCTCAATTGCAAGAAATAAAGTCAGAATTGTGAGATATAAACTTCCAATTGCAAATTGTAAAGTCCAGTTCTGAGGGGGAAAAAGACTGGCTTTTTTCTTAAAACTGCAAGTTTATATCTCACAGTTCTGACTTTATAACTCACAATTCCGTGTTATAAAGTCAGACTAAGGAAAAAAGTCAGAATTGTGAGACAAAAAGTCACAACTAACTTTTTTATTTCTATTCAGTGGCAGAAACGGCTTCCATATATAACAGATATATGTCTTAGAATGTTGTGGGGAACAACATTCCATCACATTCCAAGTGATGGAATGGAAATACAATTAGTTATGGTCAGTGTGAATTTTCAAACCATAATATAAGTGTTTTCATCTTTTAGGATCCTCCATCATTTAAAGTGTCACCTCGTAAGGAGTACAGACAGGATGTTGGGGGCATGCTTGTTATTCCATGTCAGATGGACGGTAATCCGGCTCCAAAAGTCAGCTGGAAAAAGGTAAAAGTCATTACACTGTGCTTTACAATTACATTCTTGGTTCACTTGTCAAAGTGAAGGTATTCTACCATATTTTGTAGCACAAACAACGCAACAGTATTTACAATAAGAAAATCCCCCTTTTTCAGTTCTAATAACTAATGGTAATTCTAGTAGAAATACCATGTTAAGTTTATAAAGAATTTTTCTATCTAATACTCCATAGACTTCCATTGAAAGTGTCTTACTGTACATGTTTTATGTTTGTTCTTTCAAACTAGGGGACAAGTTTAAATTAGTTTCTGTGGTAAACAACAAACCACAGATGTTGCTGATTGAGCTAAACACATATTTAACCCAGAACATTCCTGTAATGTTATGAGGTGTAATGTTCAAGCAGCAATAGTTTACAACTGCTTATGTAAAACTGTGCTGATTAACATTAGAAAAAATAGCATCAATCCTCTGCACAAATATTTTTCATTTTCTCCAAATATTATAATGCACCCCCTTACAGCTGGAAATCAAGTTTTAATTAAAATTGGTGTTTAATCTCATTATATGCTTCATTATGGCACTGCTCCTTTTAGGTTGGCACAGCCTCTCGCTCACTGTTCACTGTAGCAGCGAATGGCTCCCTCATTCTGCGTCCTCTCAGTAAAGACCACCAGGGGGAATGGGAGTGCAGCTCCACCAACCGAGTAGCCACTGTATCTGTCAGAACAACAGTCCTTGTGCTGGGTAAGACTTGAAGCATCTAGATCATTACTACTGCACTTGGGCCATGTGATGTTTACTGTAACAGTAAGCACAGACATATTCTGTGTTCATTTTGGGCTTGAATCTTAGCTAAATAAAAGCCCTAAAGGGGTTAAAGGAAATCTTGTCTAGTGGCCCCTGAGATAGTTGAGTAGTCCTCATCTAGATTGAACTTGCAACTTGCTGTCACACCTCATGTATCACACTACATATGTCACACATATCTTGTTTCCTTCTGATTCACAGGTACAAGTCCACATGCAGTGTCATCAGTATCTGTGATCCCAGGAATTAACCAGGCCAATGTCTCTTGGGTAGCTGGCTTTGATGGAGGATATGCCCAGAAATTCACTGTCTGGTTGGTGTCTGTCTTGATAGAGTTCATCTCTGTAAATCTTAAGTATTTTGAAATTGTAGTCTGTCACACTATATTTTTTTGTAATAAGAGCAGTGCTTATCTAATAAATTTACTCTAAATGCAAAACAATGCAAAGCAGAGTCACAAAGCTGCATGCACAATACAAATCTCAAGAAAGTGCACAAATCTAAAAAAAATAACTAATGTAGCATTTTGTCGTGCAGCATTGCTATTAGTTGGTAAAAAGTTCACTTTAAAATGTTTTTACGCTACTGAAAAAAGTTAGTAGTGTTGTTGCTACTTTTCACTGGATGGTTTAAGGCTGTCTTCATAAATCTTTTTTTTGTTTTGAAAACTTGCTAACTGTCACGATACGCTGCTGCGGGAAGAACATAGGAGTGACCAAATAAGGAAACACAGGAAGGACTACGGGGGCAAAACAGGTCCAAAAGTCTGACACTAACATTCTTTTTTTTCAGGTATAAGCAGGTGTCAGCAGAAAGGAAAGAGATAAAGCAAGAGTGGTTATCTTTCTCAGACCTCTCCACTGAGAACAGTCTGTTGGTCACCAATCTTCTTCCTGCTACTGAGTACCAGTTCAGTGTTATGGCCCAAAATAAAATTGGCACTGGGCCCTTCAGTGAGATCACCACCATCACAACTCTGGGTAAACATTAGATGTGCATAAGAAACTTTCAAGACCCTATGAAATGGTTTTATGAACCTAGTTTTCATGGCCGTGAACCATGATTTGTTATATTCTGTTGCTATTAAGTGACACATGATATTAGGAGGATGGCATTTTATTGAACAAACTATTGTACATAGAAAGAAGAGAAAGCCTGTACATTTGAATTTGAATATCTCATAATTTTCATCAATTTTAATTAATTTCGTCATTTTCTAGAAATGTACTAGCATATAGATGGCCTCAAAGCTAATAGACATGGTCTAAAAGCCACAGAACTCCAATTTTGATTTCATTGGGTCTTTAAAACCACTTAGTCTGTGTGCTGGCTACCTCATGCAGACTCAAATGAATGTTAAACCATCTGTATTTATGCTACACACTGTGAATAATTGAATAAAAGCAAGCTGTTCATTTCAGTCTCTCTCATTTAATATTTTATTTTACAGATTCACTTCCTGTTGTGGTCAAGCTGGTACCACCTACAAATCTCTCGATCAATAAGAGTTCAGAGGGAATTCTTCTGTGGTGGTCAGTGCCTCAGTCCCATTCTCCACACATTGACAGTTTTGTCGTACAGTCACGCCTTGAAGGAGGGGAATGGATTAATCTGAAAGAGAACATTAGCCCAGTTGAGAGTCAAATCTTTCTTCGAGGGTTATGTAAGGTAAATGTTATCGAAGACATGATCTGAGATTTTCACGAATCAGTCAGCTTGTCATTTTTGATAAATGCAACCCATTCTCCCTTTGCTTTCATCCTTATTTTGTCATTTTTCTCACGATGTATCACTCTCTGAAGGACTGCAAGTATGAACTGAGGCTTCTCTCTCAACGTGGAGATCAGCTGAGCATGCCCAGTCCATCAATCAGTGTCTCCACCATCGGTTAGTGCTTCACACATTCCCTGTTCTAATCACCTGCTTGTAATATTTCCTTCAGAAATTGTTAGAATTTATTACTCTAAGCTATACTTATAATAAAATCTATAAGTCTTTTCACATACCCAACCATTAAAACCTTTCTTTGCGCTCTGCAGGAATGAATATGCACCCAGCCAGTTCCCGCCTCCTAGACTTTCCTGACCAGCTAATGGCTGGTGTTATGGGTGGAGTAGGACTCCTTTGTCTTGCTCTTATCCTGACCCTGGCAATAGTCTGTTTCATTTTTCACAAAAGGAACCGAAGGCGTAGGCAGAATGTCAAGGGTAAAGAAACAACACTTTGAACTGCTTAGAACTGTTTTAACAGTCTGCCTCAATGTATCCATCTTAGAAGATGCTCTCACTCCTTTACCTCATATTGTTATTCTTCATGCATGATCATTTATCCTGTCACTCATTCCATTGTAAAATTGGTTCCCTCCTTTCAGATCTCCCTCCTGCAATAAATAATAACCCTTCTGAAAAGTAAGTTCACCACTCTCACCTCATGAAACGCTTTTTCATTGCCCAATTTTTTCCTATTCATTGCAGCCATTTTAGAATGTACTAAATTCCTATGCTTGACCTTAGCAGCCCTGACAACACCCTGAACCAAAGGCTCCTACCAGCTCGTCCACTCTCCTACACTTCCTCTTCTTCCAATCACTCCTCCCTTGAAAAGTCTAGTCACAGTGATTTTCATGCCCAGCGGCAACATCTCCTGCCTCAAGCTCACCCTCAATCCCACCATTCCCCCCCTGAGAGCCATCTCCAACGGGCATCACTTGCCCCTGTGTCCTCTGTGGAGTTCATCCATCGTGGTCCTGACGGACGCTTTATTGTCGATTCTTGTGAAGACGCCAATATTGTCAGTTCTCAGATCAAGAGAAACCCAAGTCAAAACTCCCATCGGTCATCAGAAAGAAACAGGAGCTTCAGAATCCAGAAATCCCAGTCTTTGAGATCCTACAGGGATGAAAGAAAAAAGCCACCTTTTGTCCTTTCAGTGGATCTTCCACCTTTCGCATCAGATATCCCTTCTTCTAGCAGAACACGAGCTATGGCTAAGCACCTCTCATTGAACGGACATTACATGCCCATTCTGGAGCAAGAGTTCTTGGATGGACCAGACCAGACAAGTCTCTCATCAGATAATAGTGACTCTTTTCTCTATCCTCATTCAGAAAGTACTCTGGGTCAGCAGTCCGTGAAACAAGGTACCAAACACTCTACAGCCAGTAACCTGGTTTTGCAGATGGAGCATGAGAGGGAACAAGGAAACCTAAGTCGCTGTTTATCTTTAGCTCGTGAGAGAGAGGAGCTTGAAAAGGAACTGCGCAAGTACACTGTTGATCGAAATCCGTATAGTCATGAACAGACAGATGAGTATGGAAGAATCTGGAAAGTTCGAGAAACCTCAACTCCTCAGGGTAACTACCAAGCCATTAGACAAAGCCTTTTATCTGAGAATGCCAGCATGTTGAAGGGAAGAGCTGCCTCTTGCATTCCATGGGAGGAAAGACACAGGATTTCTTCTGCAAGCTTGGTGCCCCTACATACCTCTCATGGAAAGGATACCAAGTATAGGCAGAATCAGCAAGGTTACTATTCCATCCAGAGATCTAACTACCAAAGGTCTCGTAGTCTAGACAGAGGGGAACACCAAAAATCACAAACATGGGACCGAAGACGAAGCAGAACTCCTGTTGAGTCAAGTCTTGGCCGTGTAATGGATGAACCCTTAATCTGCAAATTGGAGAATACCCAAACAGATGTAGGGCATAGAGGTCAGAGGACCTCAAGCAGAAGTCAACATTATTTTGACCCATGTATTTATTCATCCTCAGACAATCAGCAGAGGCAGACCATAGAAAGAAGCACTAGACAGATAAATCCAACTAGTGTTTATTCAGAGATGAGTGTAGACGGCCCTGATCTTGAGAGCCAGTCTCCATATTCAAGGTCCAAGCTGGGCTCAGATCACAGTTATGAGACTCTAGATTATGACCGACCCAGATTATCAGATCTTGTAAATAACAGATCAGTAGAGTCAGGACATGCAAGTTTAAGAAAGCAGCAGACGTTGAACAATTGGTCGAGCAAAACTGTATCTCAAATCAATGTCTCTGGAACAATGCCTCGGAAGACAAAGAGTCTGGGGTCAAACAATTGTAATCGCCACAAGAGCACCCAAAGTTTAGACTCAAAATTATACAAGGACCATTTTTTGACCCCTAATGCCTGGATAGACTCGCTGACACTTGGTCGAGATTCTACAACATCCCCCTTTGCATGCAGACCCAACTCGGTGGCAGATAAGCCTAAAAGTAGTCCTAGTTTGCAAACAGATTCATCTGTGCCTTTAGAAAGTCAAACACAAGACCCCCATCATCAGGCTTCTAAATCATATAATAGCTCTATGAATAACTCACAATCCCGCAAAAAGCTAGTGTCGGGACATAGCACTCATGCTGCCTTATCAACAGGGGGTTCTAGCTGGCCTCGGCCTTATTGCCCTTCTCTGCCAGCCTTGCCATCTGGAAGACGGAGCCAAAGCCAAGAGGGGGAGAGAGAGGAGGAAGATGAAGATGGGCAGGAGGTTGATGTGGAAATGAACAGATACAGGAAGAGTTCCGAGACAGAGGGAAGCTACAGAAGTTATGCAAGCCAAAGCAGTGGCAGAGGCAGCATGGATGCACCTAACAGCAGGCATTTCTCTCTCAGCCCTCCTCTGACCAGCTCTCCAGAGACCACAGAGGACAGTGAACGTCCTGAGCCTGAACGGCATGAAAGGTACAACTGGCTGTTCTTTGCCTTTCTCCATATATTTATCTTAAGCTGTTTCTAATGATTTCAACTGATTTTTATGATTGATCCTCTTACAAAAAGTACTATGGGTACTCTTAATATCTGCATTGATAATATAATGTTTTTGTTAACAGAAGACCATGGTATTACCATGTGTTTTTGGACTTGCATTTAATACCACAGTTTGTGTATACCATGGTAATTAGGGTGGAAATTCATGGATAGATTCTGAGATCTTCTGAATGCATTGCAATTCTCTCTGGAATCCATTCTAAACTTAGATTTTAACTTCAGATGGCGCTCTAATCTAGTTTTTATCCGCACACTCAAATGCTCACGAAGAAGAGTGCTGAAGGGCCCTTGTGCATTCGGCTGAGTCATGTAATTTCACCTCGGCTCAGAATGCTTTTATGACACGAGATTAATGTAAACACAGCCCATTGTGAACACCCTTGTAATTCACTTCAGCCTTTTCGAATTTTATGAATGATTATTTTAGGTTCAAGTGTGTGTAAGGATTTGGAAACAAGCAGAATACAGCTGTTTCTAAAGCATGCAGTGCCATCTGCTGTTCAAAACTAAGACTCGAGAAAGAATCGCGATGCATTCAGAAAATCTCAGAATCGATGCTGAATCATTTCTCGATTCACGATGCATCGATTTATTTTCCCAGCCCTAATGGTAATACCATGCTTGGCTACTGCTATGATAATACAATAGGTTTTTTGAATACTATATTGCCCCATGACTTTTATTTAAGGCAGGGGACTCCAACCCTGTTCCTGGAGAGCTACCATCCCACAGATTTCAACTCCAACCCCAATCAAACACACCTGATCCAGCTAATAAAGGTGTTCAGGGCAGAGATTGTCTTATTATTGGTAGATATGATGGTCTGTATTACTTATCATTGGAGAAGACGTAACAGTCAACTTGGATCACGTGTGCCTTGATAACCAATAACATTACAGCCTTGATGTCATTGAATTTCAGTCAAGAGTTGTGTGACAGACAATCGCCATTTACTGATATGATAGAAATGAATGAGAAGTGCTGTAAACTAAATCCTACCTGTCACAAAAAGTCTGACTTCTCTTATAAAACAGCATTTTTTTCGGTGTAAACTCTAAAAATAGTTAAATCCAAAACTAGCAAACAAGTTGAAGATTAGCCGATAGGCTGTCGATTAATTAAATAAGCAGTTTCCTCACAAAAGCTGTTTATTCAGCGTAGTGAAGCCTCACCTCCATTGACATCCTTTCAAAAAATCGGCCTCTGGTTTCCTTCTCTGTGTACCACCAAAGTGGAAGTGTTAGCATTAGCCATCACACTTTTTTGGCTAAAGGTTGCAGGCTTGCCTTCCAGTGGCTTTGTTCAGGGCTTCTTGATAATTACAAGCAGGTGTGTTGGAGCAGGGTTTGAACTGAGTGGTGCGTTCAAGTCATGTTGGATAGATCGTATTTACGAGTTGAATGCACATGAACGCCACCACAAAGTCGTTATTATGAGTGGGAAACTCATGTAATGTAAATTAAGACTATACAAGTTACATAAACAAAATATTATATTATTGTATAATTACCATAGAATATATGACTCCGTTTACATCACCTTCATAAATTGAATAAAAACAGAAAAAAAGATGTACATTCTTTAGTCATCATTTGGAGATGTAGAGTTTAAAAAATCGTGGAATTTTATGTAGAAAAGTTAAATCGCCATCTGACCAAAGTGACTTTAATGCAACTCGTAAGTACGAATGTCCCAGGAGGACTTGAACGCAGCAGAAGTCTGCAGGACAGTAGCTCTCCAGGAGCAGGGTTGAAGATCCCTGATTTAAGGTATCCACATTAGACTTAACTATATGTACATTCCTTTATCTTCTGACTTTAGATCTAGAAGAGGCTCTGTGGATGAGAGTTATGAGTGGGACTCTGCTTACGTCGCAATGCATCCTGTGGACCCCAAAGTGTCAGGTCTACAGAGCCAAGAGAAGAAGATCAGCTCTACTAAAGATTATGGAAGGCCAGATTTAGACCTGAAACAAAAAGGTAAGAGAAATGCTTGCTCTGTATATTGTAACTCAGCAAAAATGTCTTACGGTTGTGAAAATGTATATTCAGGGATACCAAGAAAACCTGTTCCTTCACTGTTGCATGGTGGTTTATTGTTATAGTGATATCTATTTCAAATGTTCCTGTGCCTGTCGTTGATATTTTGTCTTGTTTACTGTTATACTTTGATCCATTTTAGCAGGAGATTAATTACTAAATCAGACCATCCAGCATTAATTGAAAATACAAGAAATTTCTCAGTAATTCCATTTAGGTTGTATAGCCCTCCTATTGTGTTTGGGTCAATTTGACCCACATTCAGACATTTTTTTATTTTATTTGGGGGGGGGGTATTATCATGTACCATGGTATTATCATGGTGTTCTTTAACATACCTTGGTGTACCATTCAAATACCATGGTTTATGAGTATGGTAATCATGATACATTAACAATGCAGCACTTTTTGTAAGGATTGTGACTGTGAGAGTTATGAAGACCAGTTCAAAGAGTCTAAACTATAGTGTATTCAAGGCATTCTGCTCTTTCTGGTTTCATTCATCTCCATTGTCTTTTTGACCCAAGGTCTTTACCCTCCGCCTGGTTTGAAGGGATCTGTTCCGCTCTTTGAACTTCCCAGTATTCTTCCTCCTCACTGCGAGCAAGAATCACTCCTTTCTCAGGAGATTCGGAAGAGCTTCACGTCATTCCCAGACCCAGAACCCGACACTGTGCTCTTCTGATTAAGGACAGTAAGTACACCATTCATGCTGATTAGCCTGCACTGTTTTCATTTGAGCTTTTATACGCTTAAGTAGTCAGATTTTGTTTTGAAACACTTAAGATGATTAGATTTGTTTGTCAAAACTGCAGCCAAATGTTAGCATGTTCTCAAACCTAGATTGGACACAGCATGGTTGCCATCAACACACATCTGAATGGCCAGCATGAGATGGGACACTGGGTGTCGCTATTAATTGGATGTCTGTGGACCACTCAAGCACAATACAACCTAAGAACACACACTACTCTGCCTAGCTAATGGAAATGACATTACCTGACGGATGGGCCAAAGCACAGTGAAGAGAACTGTCATTTAAAGAGCTTACATTATGTGCTGGAGATGCAAATCAAAGAGGGAATAAATAATACAGGACTTTGCTCTCTGCACCCTGCTGTTGCTGATGAAACCGAATTTGAAATAAAAATGCTCAAGCTGTCTCAATGAGCCCCCCTTTCAAAGTTGATTTTTGCAGAGGCTTTCGATTGTTCTGTAATTCCTATTTTGACAGTAAGTGCCCATTATAATTTGGAAACCTCATCAAGGCTCTTTTATGCTTGGTTACAGGAATATTTTATTGTGCGAAGCAGTACGTTGAAAAGTATAATTTGTAGCTACCTTCAAGTTGTCAAGCGAATTGGAGTTGCATTTAAATTCCTCTATAAATCTTGTCAGACATTTCACTGAAAATTGTGATTGAAGTACTGCTTTGGCAGCAACTTCAGTTTTCTTGACAATCATTGGTCCTCCCTATACCCACTCAAACCTACCTCATACACGCTACAATCCCAATGACACCATTCATGTAAATTTCACACTGTCATTCATATGGAGAAAAAACTGCATACCGATCACTGTGTGGTGCATCATCTAGTCCTTGACAGACTGACAATCGATAAAATCCCTTTGAAGGTTTAACCCTTTAACCTCCACTAGAATGTTTTTTATTGAAGTTTCCAATTTTTTCATTTTTGTTAATGGTGTGCGGGCTTCTTGTTTCAGAGTTTGTAATGTTGCCGAGCTACTCTCATCCGAAGGAGCTCATTTTTTTTTTGTGTTTTAATGAGCCTTAGTGTCTGACGATGACGTTTGAGCCGTTTAATGAGAAAAGAAAACGTAGCCTATAAAATCGGTTGATTATCTGCATCAGTGTCTTTTTTTAGGAAGAATCTAATAAACGGATACTCTTTCAGAGTGCAACTGGAAGGAAATGATTAAATTCACTGCAGGTCATGGGAGTTAATTACATATCACAGCACCCTGTGGTCTGGCCGTCTGCTGAGCCTGACAATAAAGAGTTATGTTTACTAAAAGAGCTTAACTGTTTACAGTTAAACCAAACATTTTTTTTCTGTTCAAATGCTTTTCTTATAATAATACAAAAAAAACACATTTTCATTTTTAAAAGCAATTAAAATGAATCTTTGTATGAGTGTTTTATTGCGTCAGAATGCTAAACACACTTGACAGAAATCTTTATTTTCTGCCAGTATGAAATGTGTCTCTGTATCTACTACCTACTCACTGAATGTAGAATCTTTGCAAATATGTGTATATGTAATTAATTGTTATATTAATCAAAGTCTATTCAAACAAGACTGTACAAATTAACTCCTTTTTCTTAGTAGGGACATGAGAATTGTTCCAGTTGTTTGCAACCCAGTTATTGTTTTTCGGGAAACAATTTGTACTTAAATTGTTACTTCATCAAATTATGAAATTTATTTCACGTATGTGGATTTGTACATTGATTAAAGACAACAAAACATTGATTTTTGTTGTTGTGTTGATACTACAAAGCCAAACCAGAGTTGAGTTCCTCTATATCCACTAGGATGTGCTGCACTTTCACAAATGAACTAAATAATCTTGAAAGCAGTGCAAGCATTCTCTAAACATTTAAGTTTTATTATATACCTGTTTTCTAATATATAAAAAACATAAGTCTGTGACATTTTCTAAAGGAATCAAGAAGGATTATTGTCACATCCTGACAACAACATTTCCTCTGAATGCTGTGAGCTGTGGGAACAAAGTCCATTTCTTTCTTTTCTTTTTTTTCTGTTGAGCAGTAAGATATGGACCTTTTTCCATTTGTGAACTCTCTTTTAGTGATTGAGTGGACTGTGAAATCCTGACAGGTTACAGGCGGACACATTAGCGTGTGTTCTGAACATAAGGAGCACAGTCTCCATCATTATCTAAAGCTTGCAGCAATTCCACATGCTGCATTAATCACAGCTGAGGTGAAGGCAGAGATGTGTCAAAAAGCGCACATACTGCATTTCCCTCCAACATTGTCGGTTTCTGATTCTTCTAGTCCTCACTCTTTTTCTAATTTCAGTGTAATATGGCAGGCTTAATTAGTATGCACGAGTTGTAACAATATAACATTAATAATTAACCGTACACATAATGACTAAAGACCCCTCCTTCAAACATGCACCAGAATTGCCGTCTAAAAGATTAATTGTGAAAGGAATATGTCACAATTCGCATAGGCTACTTCATCAATTCATACATTTTTCACCCAAAAATGAAACCTTATACCCTCTTGTAACCATTTGGACTTTCTTTGACTTTTCAGTGGAACACGAAACTTTAAAATTCTGTGTAATGCTGATGGCTCTTTTCCGTGCAATTACAGTGAACACGGGAATTGCATCTCTCAGTTTTCACAAATGACGAAAAACAGGTGTGTGAGAGGAAAAGCATGGAATTGACTGCCTTTTTTATTATTTTGTACTGTTCTCCGAGGTCCCCTTATAATGCTATCAAGATTTTTACATCAAAAGCATCATGATTTAGAAGAAATAGGCACTTTTCCTGTTTTTTTTTAAGTGCCATTTTGGAGAGTATCACATACATAAACAACATATGCAAGGTATGTACGTGAATACGTTGTTTACGTTCAGATCAACGCATAAACAACATAAACAGCGTATCCGCGAACAGTGCTGCTGACACAGAACAGCATACATTGTTTACGTATGTGATACTCTCCAAAATGGCGCTATAGGGTGACGCGGAGGAGACGAATTGTTAAAATAAAGTCGTTATTTTTGTTTTCTTTACACAAAAAAGTTTTCTCATAGCTTTATAACATTACGGTTGAACCACGGATGTCACATGGATTATTTTAGTGATCTCCTTGCTACGTTTCTGAGCCTTGATCGTGTAAGGATCCTATGGGAGGGTCAGATTGCTCTCGGAATGCATCAAAAATATCTTAATTTGTGTTCCGAAGATGAACGAAGGTCTTACGGGTTTGGAACAACATGAGTGTGAGTAATTAATGACAGGGTGAACTATCCCTTTAAATGTAAAAATATCAAGGGAATTTTGATTTCTCAGTTCCTGACTCCTTTAAAGTTGCTGTTCACTAATAATGTTCCCCCTGGATGGATAAGTCAGAGATCAACTTGAGAATCAAAACACTCAGGGTGCTGGTACTTCCTAGTCCAGTCCTTCAGAGGCTTCAAACGCTGTGGCACAAAATAATATTAATATTATAACTTAAAGAATACTGTATATTGAAAATTTTGAAAAACTTTCTATTAATGCTATACAGGTAATGACAACCGTGTGTGGTCTCCCAGAGGATTACATTATGCACAATTTAGCATTATGATTTATTAAAAAAAAAAAATCAACAATAACACTTCATTTTCAGTATACTGTTTTTCGCACTTTGGAATGTGTGCAAAGGATTGTGGGATCTGAAGGACAAGAGGATACACTTGATGCATCCTTCAAAACAGGCTGAATGACAAAACGTGCCTCGTAGCACCCTCTGATTCCTGGAAAGAAGGAATGAATTAAAAGACTCAAAACTCATTCATTAGTTGGATATTGCTGCTAATCTCTTGAAATCTCATGAATGTGCTAAGGAAGCATATTCGTGGGGATTTTCAATGAATATAACGTAAACGATTTATTACACAAAAAGTTTAATGCATTGCTTAAGAAGACTTGAAATATAGCACACTAGCCACTCATTTTAATTATTTTTATGGCGTTTCTGGATCTTTTTTGAAAATTGAAAGCTTATTCCATGGAAAGGAAAATAAAAAAATCATTCTCAACGATTCACATTTTTTTGTCCTGCAGAAAAAGAAAGCCATTAGGTTTGGAACAACATAATGTGACTAAATAATGCTAGAGTTTCTTTAAAATGAATGCTCCATGTTGTGTGCGTTTCAGAGATCACCTCATCAAATGAGTTCAGTGAGATGACACACTAGACTCATTTTGTACCATATTAGGTCTGTTCTGACCCTGGCCTTTTGCTGTCATATTGACCTAAATGCAAAATGTCAGTAAAGTGGCCAGTTGCCATTTTGTTTCTGTGCCCTAAAACCAATTACCGATTATCCAATTGCCCTGTGACATATCATTTTGATAATAAGAATATAAGGCCTTTCTGTTTGCATCAAAAAGAGAATGCAGTCAGAGTATTTAGGAAGTTGATTCTTTCCCTCTTTGGCCACACACACATCTAGGGCAAAATGAGTAACTGCGGTCATTGGCTCATATCCAAAAAGACCCGTGTAGCCAGACTTTTGACCTGAGGCATCGAGTTTGGTCCCATTTGCAACTTCTTCCCAGCTGGAAGGTTTTGAGAACTTTAGCTGATGTTCTGGAAGGGTTCTCTCCAAGTTATGGATGAACATTCAAAGTAATCTGGAACGTTGTTAAAATGTTGCAGAAACTGTCCTACATTTTGATCATTTCTCAAATGTACAAAAAATGTGTGTACGCCTAGATTGCAAATGATCTTGAAATTGTGTGCAGCTGAATGGTTTCAGATCTCTGCCTTAATTATAAACAACGTCTAATTAATATCATTATATATACAAGAGCAACAGTAGCGTCTAAATACCTGAGAATTGTTTGATTTTCAAATACCTGCAGTACTCCGACTCTCTGCCACAAGGAAAAGTGCGTATGCCTGCTTTAGACCCCGATGTGGCACTAAGCACTTTTCCAAATCACAAAAAAAAAAAGTTTTATAAACCTGAATGTTGGCGTGGATCAAAATCTGTGCGTATGCATGTTTTATAAACGAGTCTTTAATAATGTTCTCAAAATGTTAGCGCAAAAAAAAAAAAAAATTTATATTGTACTTTGTTCATGGACATTTTTGGCATTGGATGTTCTTCTAACTTTATTTAAGCATAAATACTTGTTTCTGATGGTTTGGAGAACATTCAAAAATAACTTTACCATAATGTTTGTCCATAATGTTCCCTTAATGTTTTCTCTAACATTCACATAACCAAGACGTTTTTTAAGAAAAAAACAACAACAACTGGACACTTCAAACATTCAGGGAGAACTTTATGGAAACGTTAGCAACATATTCTTAGGACATATTTTTGTTAGCTGGGTTCATCTGGCCAGGAATTGCCCACTTAGACAGGAAAAGACTGTTTGACTAACATTTAAAGTACTAGAAGTTGTTGTATAGTATATATTCTAAGCAGTTAATACTGTTATGTTAGTGAATATTTGATCTTGACTTTATATGCAGAGATCAAATAGAAACAGCAACAAAAGCTTGAATCGTAGCACTTAGTACAGTATGATGTCTCCACACAGATTGTGAGATTGATTTATACAGCTAAGTGTGACTATGTCAATCATTCTTAAAGCTGTCAGGCCAGTACTTATATAGGCAGCGTGTACAGGCAGATTTTTATAGTTCAGCGAAGTAAATTGAGGTCAGACTTTTTGATAGGAAACATTACTCAGTGTCCACTCCATTTTCTTGCAGAGAAAATTCCAGAGTGTTTGCTGAGATGTAGCTCCGTTCACCATATGGCTCATTGTAATTATTCTTTTCTGAGCAGCATTGGGTCCTTTCTAAATCACATTGTGTCAAGTAGGCATATGGTATAGTGCAAGACATAAAATACAGTGTGAGCGTATCAATGAACACATGCCTTTGTATTTGTTTATTTTTTTAATTAACTTTTCATACAGATTTGCCTCAGCAAGTGGCTCTTCATGGTGAGTATATTGAATGAAGTTTGAAGAAATGCATAGGTGAAAACGCTGTGAATATCTAGAGGCATGCTTACTTATTTCAAGACTGTGAAGAACTTTGCAGTGCAACTCTATTGCAACTCTCTGGTCATGAGCCAGACTTGTGGAAGTCTGTGAAAGTACCTCTATAAATCCAAATATAGTTACTTGCATGTCAATATTCTCCTTCCCAGGTTTTGTAGAGCTAAAGCTGGAAAAGATTGGCTCCCAGTGGGCTTCCAGGTCTTGGTGTCCTGTGGTTTGGCTGATTAAATAGGACTGGAGAATGACAGTCCGTCTGTTTCTGTTGATAGCAATCCTCATTCAGTGACTATTCAGTTCACGGACATACAGAAACTACCAGATCCAGTGCCTCCTCTGATAACTTACTGAGATCCTGACTGCCTGCAAAGGGTTCGAAGAATGAATTGGCACTGAATATAAATAAATTAAGACATGTACTTTTTTAAAGAGAGCCCAGTCTGTGAGTATATTGCTGGAGCAAGGTCAGTTGCTCTGTTGCAATGAATCTGCAGGAAGCAATGATTTAAAAACATTCTTTTTTTTCTGTATATTAAATTGCATCAAGAAAAGAGGTCATATTATTTAAAGGTTATTCAATGTGTCTCATGCTGACCTTAATTTTTGGTAACA